ACGTTAAGAAGAAATGTTAATAATATAATTGTAACAATTGTCAAAGCGAGTTATTTGTTTCAAGCGATTGTTGCTAGATGCAAAGTTTTTCGAAGCGACATAAAGTTGATAAAATGAGTTATCAAAGTAAGTTAAATTATCTAATTATGTACATAATTACATTCATTGGTTTACAGCGTGTTCATAATATGAATATAAACAGTGTTTTTATCATAATGTTTTAACAAAAAGCTCAAAACATGAATGAAATTTTTATATACAAAATTATGATGAAAATCGCTGCTATTATGTGACCTTTCAAAGGAGTGTTTAAAGGGAGAATTTCATTAATAACAATTAGGTCATAAATCAAACTCTTGTTTCTATTCAAAAGAAAATGGCGTTGTGTTCTCTCTTTTTTTTTTTTTATTGATGCAAGTATATTTAATAAAAAAGTATTTAAAATAATTACTGTAACAATTTTGTTAAAAATATAGCATAAAATACTAAAAAACAATTTATCAATAGTTTATTTTTTATATTTTTATACCTGACTTGCAGCTGTGCTATTTATAATTGAATGTGCAAAATGTTATAAGTTACAAGAAAGAAAAATTTAACAAAATATTACATTTAAACAAATTAAGAAATTTATGTTTGAAAATAAAAAGCCAGGTTTGCTATAAACTGGCTTTATTAACAAACATATCAATTTCGGAATTTGTTTACAGATGTAACATTTCTTAAATTTTTGTTTGTGTGACTTTAAGTCACACAAATCAGTATATTATTAGTCTGTTCGATAAATAAATAAATATTAATGAGATATTTGTTCACAGGTGTTCAGTGTTTAAATATTGTAAGAGTTTCGTCATCTGAAAATGACTTTATTTTTGTGTATGCTTATGAGGTGCGTATAACAGGAAATTAAAATCTATGTCTCAGATAAAATAAAAATCAATAATGTTCAAATAAAATGTAAACTTAATTTGTTTGTTAGAAAAGCTAGAAATGTTATTATTATTATTTTGCGCCAATTTTTCTTTATTTTTTAAATAATATTAAGCTTATTGTAATAAGGATGGCATGAAAAGTTGACAGAACAGACATTCAATTTTTGTTAATTTCTGACACACGTCNTTTCTTTATTTTTTAAATAATATTAAGCTTATTGTAATAAGGATGGCATGAAAAGTTGACAGAACAGACATTCAATTTTTGTTAATTTCTTACACACGTCTTTATGTTTATGGAGACATGACTTACGAAACAAAAGTAACGAACTTGAAAGTATTTAATGTAGTAATTACAATTTTATATTATTTGGAAATGTAATGCACGTATGTTATATTTTTGAAATTGCATTATGAAGTTTCAGTTTTCGGTCACGTGCAGAATCTTTAGATATTCTTGACAACAGTAAAAAGTTATTATAATTTATATATAATTTAATATTTGTTATGAAGGTATGTTATAAAAGAAATTCACAAAATACTACTATATATTGTGAAATTATAAATTTAAAAAGACAATTAAACACATGTTTAAATTACTTACTTAATTTAAATCAATTATCATGCAAAATTTAAACCTTTGATCAAGATAAAAAGATCAATTGACAATAGTGTTTCAATACCTGAAACGTATAAATATTTTTAACTGTTTTAATTAAATGTTCTAAGATTAAACAGGGGCAAAAAAACAGCAATTACAACAAGCTACTGTAATTTCGTACATCGCGGCACAAAAAAGAATCTGAATGTTGTATAAAACTACTATATTCAGTGTAATGATAAATGAGAACTTGGAAAGAAATTTGGCTAAAAAGGAACAAAATGCATATCCGTATATGAAAGAGCATTGATAGCTTGAGAAAAGTTTAGTGTTCATACAAACGCATTTGGATTGACACTTTGATTCTGCTCAGAAGCTTCGATCAATTTTCATAATAGGAAATATATATTAATTTTAAATTCTGAGTATTCAAATTGTTATTTAATCTTGATAAATATAATAATTACATATATATTAACTAAATAACGTGAGCAATTATAATAACCTGACAAATCATTACTACACATTGTGACTTTCATTCATTTTCATTTTTTAAAATTCAGATGTTAGACACCCTTAATAACAATGTTCTGTGATATGTTTAGTTATCATTTTTACAATGAAATTTTAAAATTACTTTTACAAAACTTAAATGACAAAAATTGAATAACAGAAATTGTAAAAATTAATAATACTAGAAAAAAATAATATATTTTTTTCTTAGTATTAGTCAAAAATATTCATTCATTTTATAAGAGATTAAATTCAAACTATTGACCATAATTTACAATTCATTTTTCTCACCTCGAATATGCACGAGCGTTTCGAAATAATCCTGGTGTGTGGTTTTATAAACAGTTAAATCTCCATTAGGTTCTTAGATTTAAGTTTCGAAATTGATCTTACAATTTTGTAAAATGTGATAGATTAATTTATTAAAGTTTCATGGTCTTTCCAGGGCGATAATAAATTAAGAATTTTTAATTGCGCAACATCTTCCGATGATGTTTAATAAATCATTTTATACAATTCAATTCTAAAAAGTCTCATTCAATACATCTTTAATCAATTCTCAAACTGTTCATTCGTATTTATTAATCTTTTATAAATTGCCTCCTCAAAATGGTTAAATGTAAAAAATATTTTATTTTATTCAAGAAAGAATGTTTATTTTTCCGACTCTTTTATGATTTTTTAATAGTTTTGGAGAACACACAATTAATTATTTCTAATTAGTGAGATTCTAACAATTCCAAATCACTATCTTATTGTAGATATGAATGTCCTGATAATATAAACTTATGATCAATGAGATCTACAGTATAAAGATCTAACCGAAGGCTAAATTAGAAATTTTTTTTCGTTTTCTATACTCACGTTTGATTTTTATAGCAACGAAGTAATGCAATCTTAAGGGCACCTGCCATCATTTTACATATAGCTCATTAGGTAACAATTACAAATTTAAAAAATGCACATACACCACTTTCACTTCAAAACGCTCATTTATGCTATTATTAATAATTAAAATAACGAATAAACAAGTTAATTTTTTAACTTTATATAAGTAGGCTACACATTATATTATAAAAAAAATTTAGTGTAAATAAATTTCGTGAAAATAATTTAATTTTCTTTAATAAAATAAATGCTTTCAAATATTATCATTTGATATTTGTCTGTAAAATGAATAACTAATATTCAATTTAAAGTGGATGACATAAAATTGTTAGATATTATAAATCAAAGGAAGGACTTATGTATATGTAAATTTTTAATATTAATCAATTTTATGTTTCTAATTTTAGTACAGAATACCAGTTCCATATGATAACTTCTGGAGAGAAATGAATGGATATGGATCGGCGCCAGAATTTTGGCAAAATGGATCTCCAGTATACAATTTTGGATATTGTCCAGAATCAGAAACGAATAATTATTGGTCCTATCCAGAAATGAATCAGTACGGAGGGACTTCAGAGGAAAATAATTATTGGTCCTATCCAGAAATGAATCAATACGGAGGGACCGCAGAATCATATAATTATTGGTCTAATCCAGAAATGAATCAGTATGGAGGGACTTCAGAGGAAAATAATTATTGGTCCTATCCAGAAATGAATCAGTACGGAGGGACCGCACAAGCAAATAATTATTGGTCCTATCCAGAAATGAACCAGTACGGAGGGACTTCAGAGGAAAATAATTCTTGGTCCTATCCAGAAATGAATCAATACGGAAGGACCGCAGAATCATATAATTATTGGTCTAATCCAGAAATGAACCAGTACGGAGGGACTTCAGAGGAAAATAATTATTGGTCCTATCCAGAAATGAATCAGTACGGAGGGACCGCACAAGCAAATAATTATTGGTCCTATCCAGAAATGAACCAGTACGGAGGGACTTCAGAGGAAAATAATTCTTGGTCCTATCCAGAAATGAATCAATACGGAGGGACCGCAGAATCATATAATTATTGGTCTAATCCAGAAATGAATCAGTACGGAGGGACCGCACAAGCAAATAATTATTGGTCCTATCCAGAAATGAACCAGTACGGAGGGACTTCAGAGGAAAATAATTCTTGGTCCTATCCAGAAATGAATCAATACGGAGGGACCGCAGAATCATATAATTATTGGTCTAATCCAGAAATGAATCAGTACGGAGGGACCGCACAAGCAAATAATTATTGGTCCTATCCAGAAATGAACCAGTACGGAGGGACTTCAGAGGAAAATAATTCTTGGTCCTATCCAGAAATGAATCAATACGGAGGGACCGCAGAATCATATAATTATTGGTCTAATCCAGAAATGAATCAGTACGGAGGGACCGCACAAGCAAATAATTATTGGTCCTATCCAGAAATGAACCAGTACGGAGGGACTTCAGAGGAAAATAATTCTTGGTCCTATCCAGAAATGAATCAATACGGAGGGACCGCAGAATCATATAATTATTGGTCTAATCCAGAAATGAATCAGTACGGAGGGACCGCACAAGCAAATAATTCTTGGTCCTATCCAGAAATGAACCAGTACGGAGGGACTTCAGAGGAAAATAATTCTTGGTCCAATCCAGAAATGAATCAATACGGAGGGACCGCAGAATCATATAATTCTTGGTCCAATCCAGAAATGAATCAGTACGGAGGGACCGCACAAGCAAATAATTATTGGTCCAATCCAGAAGTGAATCAGTACGGAGGGACGGCAGAAGAAAATAATTATTGGTTCGATCCAGAAATGAATCAATACAGAGGGACCGCACAAGCAAATAATTCTTGGTCCAATCCAGAAATGAATGAGTATGGAGGGACAGCACAAGCAAATAATTATTGGTCCTATCCAGAAATGAATCAGTACGGAGGGACTTCAGAGGAAAATAATTCTTGGTCCAATCCAGAAATGAATCAATACGGAGGGACCGCAGAATCATATAATTATTGATCTAATCCAGAAATGAATCAGTACGGAGGGACCGCACAAGCAAATAATTATTGGTCTAATCCAGAAATGAATCAGTACGGAGAGACCGCACAAGCAAATAATTATTGGTCCAATCCAGAAATAAATCAGTACAGAGGGACGAGAGAAGCATATAATTCTTGGTCCAATCCAGAAATAAATGAGTATGGAGGGACCGCAGAAGCAAATAATTATTGGTCGTCTCCTAAAATTATTGGGAATGGGCCACTACCAGATACAAATGAGCATTCTCCATTCCCTGAAACTATTGGATATAATTCCCAATCAATAATATCCGAATATTGGCCATCCCCAGAAATGAGAGTATATGAACAATCGTCAAAACACCAGTATTATGCGCCACCAATACAACTGCTACAACATGGTCAGGAGCCTAAATTATCCACAGAAGTGCAGCAGCCATTTGTACTACCCAGAAAAGGGAAACAAACAGAACTTTCCAAATCAAAGTCTTCATCTGTCAATTCTTCAAAAACTGTAAAACCAAACCATCTACCGTCAGAATCTTTTCAGAATCTATTACATACGACCGATCAGCATCTTAACGGTAAATTTTATAAATATTATTCTAATAATAATTTAATATTAACGTTAACATACCTACATGAACAGCTATATTTCATATAACTGTTCACGGAGCCACTCACAAAAAGGAAATGCCTAGGCTGTATCTCGATAATCGTTGCAATGGTCTGCAAGGCAATTCAGCCAAAATTTGAGTAATACAATTTTACTTGCAACGTGTATAAAATTGGTTTAACAATTAAAGGTAGATTAACAAACAAAAAGTATGATAAACCGATAGCATCACTATCGGAAAGACGTATGGAGAAGTCTGTGAACCTGTCCTATTTGCTCTTGACTATTCATAGAGGTCGGTGAACAACTATGGTTTGCATTACAATTAAACTTTTGAGACCATTTTTAAAAAACGGTAAATCACGTCGCACATCTACACATTATACATTAATATTTTAGTGCTTAATCTACAAATTGTAACTTGATGTTACACCCTACATTTTTAGTAATTCATCAACAGTATTATTTTATATTTACCTTTTTCTGAATCATATTCCTATTTATCGATATTGCTGGATATTGTTTTTGTACACTATTTATCTGACTAGAAATGATCACCTCATTCATCAGGAAATAAAACCCGTCTGTAGAGACTACCAAATGAAGCAAATTTCTTTCTTTTTACATTCATTGAATTACCTATTNTCAGTACGGAGGGACCGCACAAGCAAATAATTATTGGTCTAATCCAGAAATGAATCAGTACGGAGAGACCGCACAAGCAAATAATTATTGGTCCAATCCAGAAATAAATCAGTACAGAGGGACGAGAGAAGCATATAATTCTTGGTCCAATCCAGAAATAAATGAGTATGGAGGGACCGCAGAAGCAAATAATTATTGGTCGTCTCCTAAAATTATTGGGAATGGGCCACTACCAGATACAAATGAGCATTCTCCATTCCCTGAAACTATTGGATATAATTCCCAATCAATAATATCCGAATATTGGCCTTCCCCAGAAATGAGAGTATATGAACAATCGTCAAAACACCAGCATTATGCGCCACCAATACAACTGCTACAACATGGTCAGGAGCCTAAATTATCCACAGAAGTGCAGCAGCCATTTGTACTACCCAGAAAAGGGAAACAAACAGAACTTTCCAAATCAAAGTCTTCATCTGTCAATTCTTCAAAAACTGTAAAACCAAACCATCTACCGTCAGAAAATTTTCAGAATCTATTACATACGACCGATCAGCATCTTAACGGTAAATTTTATAAATATTATTCTAATAATAATTTAATATTAACGTTAACATACCTACATGAACAGCTATATTTCATATAACTGTTCACGGAGCCACTCACAAAAAGGAAATGCCTAGGCTGTATCTCGATAATCGTTGCAATGGTCTGCAAGGCAATTCAGCCAAAATTTGAGTAATACAATTTTACTTGCAACGTGTATAAAATTGGTTTAACAATTAAAGGTAGATTAACAAACAAAAAGTATGATAAACCGATAGCATCACTATCGGAAAGACGTATGGAGAAGTCTGTGAACCTGTCCTATTTGCTCTTGACTATTCATAGAGGTCGGTGAACAACTATGGTTTGCATTACAATTAAACTTTTGAGACCATTTTTAAAAAACGGTAAATCACGTCGCACATCTACACATTATACATTAATATTTTAGTGCTTAATCTACAAATTGTAACTTGATGTTACACCCTACATTTTTAGTAATTCATCAACAGTATTATTTTATATTTACCTTTTTCTGAATCATATTCCTATTTATCGATATTGCTGGATATTGTTTTTGTACACTATTTATCTGACTAGAAATGATCACCTCATTCATCAGGAAATAAAACCCGTCTGTAGAGACTACCAAATGAAGCAAATTTCTTTCTTTTTACATTCATTGAATTACCTATTGACTTTCGTTTTATAAAAAGTAGCGTTTGATTTATAGTAAATGACTATTAAATTATAAATATAGTTTCAATGCTTAATAAAGAAAAAAATTCAGATTAGATATTTAAATAAAATATGTAAAGAAAGTTACAGATATTAAATAAACACATAAGAATACGTCTGAGGATTAAAGTCTATTTTAGTGTTAAGTAAACATAATAATTTGTAAATGTTTATGTTGTTATTTCTCCATATTTGAAATTGTAAGCATTGTGCTGACCGCTTTTTACTTATGTAAGATTATGTTCATTTAGCTCTCCTTTCTATGATTACGGAAATAAAGAATAAACTCGATGCAAGAAGTTATGACAATTTATTTTGAGTAAATTCAGATATTAATAATTTTTGTTAATAATGTAGGAGACAAATATCAAACTTATAATGACAAAAAATTTATTTTGAACTTGAAAATAGAAATTATTGTAATGAAGAGTTTTGTAATGCATGTGAAAGATGAAGACTCTACTTATAATAGACGTTTACGTCTTATTTTTAGATCTTATTAATAAATTATGTTTAGTTTTCCATATTATAAACTATTAAACATGCAGTTATTTTATTTCAACATTGCATAAACAAACATTAATATTATAGCTAAAGATAGATATACGATTATAATGCATTTATATATAAATAACTTAATATAATACAATAAAAATATAGTTTATTCCAGAAGTTATCAGATTTTTACAATAATAATAATTATTATATACGAATAATATTTTTTAACCTTCGCCAAGCATTAAAATTATACTGTAAATAAAAAACCCAAAAAGCTTATATTCTTAAATAAATCTCAAAAAGATCTTTCTTGAGTACTGATTTGATAAATTTACTCCAGGTACAAACTTTAATTTTTTTTTTTCTTTACTCTTCTCTAATGCTTACACAATTCTTGTATTCTGCTAAACTGTTTTGTTAATTTTTTAAATGTTTTCTTATACTTTAGTTTCTGATATGAAGGAAATTGACTCGAATAATGACGGTTCTGCTGTATATAATGCAGTGAAAAACCTTACGCAAGACGAAGAACAAAAACTGTCTGAAAATAAAATTGCAGACTGCATAAATGAAGAATATTTTACTGAGTCCAATGAAACAGAAGAGTCTCCTGCTGTAAGTTTAAATTTACATAAATTATTTCACATGAATTTTTAAAATCTGATAGCATTTAAACATTGATTACTGATAAATATCCGTACAATGTTGTTTTAGTACTGTATTAAAGATTGTTTAGTACAGGTTGTCCAATCTTTTTCCTAATGGGCCTAATTAGAAATTTAGGTATATTCAGCGAGCCACAAAGACACCTTAAATAAATATACAGTCGACCCCCCTATAACACTGTTCATAATTCCGTTTTATATGAATTCCATGTTGTACGAGTCACTTAGATTTTACAAATACGTGAGCCGTTCACATCCTGGCACACGTATTCGTAAAATCTAAGTGACTCGTACAACATTGAATTCATATAAAACGGAATTATCAACAGTGTTATAGGGGGGTCGACTGTATGCTTTTAAAAAATTCAAAATGTGAATATCAAATTTTAGTAACAAGTACACATAATTAGAAAATACTGTTATAGACAGTAAAGAAATTACACTCACACAAAATAAAAACAAATTTAATGCGATTTTTCACATTGCCTTTTTTTGTAATATTATCGATATCTGTTTTTACGATACTAGTCTTTATTCTAGGAATGTTAGTTAAATGAGAATAACTGAACATATTTCTTTCAGCTGTTTTGATGTTTTTTATGTAGGAAAAGTATTGTTCACAATAGTAGGCTATCTCACATGCATAACAGTTTTCTAGATAAATTGAGAATTTCGTCAAATTAGAAAATAAAAACAAAGAATAAAAACCCCTTCCACTTAGGCATTCGGCCTAGACTCGAGTCACTAAAAATGGCTGACACTGTTTTGAAAAAAGGGATTAGGTGTCTGTAAAGTATTGGCTTGTAAACAAAATTTTGTAAACAGAGAAGGAAGAGTCTCCTGTTGTAAGTTTAAATATACATAAATTATTTCACGTGATATTACTATTTCATGTGATAACATTATTTCACTGATAAATATCCGTGCAACAACGTTGCACGGATATTTATCAAAAAAAGAAACGGATATTTATCAGTGAAATAATGTTTACTTGCCAGGTGATGATTACTTGCCAGGTGATGAACTCCTGGACGTAAACAAGTGGGTCGGAATATCGCGGACGTAAATGTAAGCTTCACTATCACCGATAAAAGCGGAACGGGTTCAGACAAGGAAGGTTTGTGATTGATCGGAAGTTTCCGTCCAAATAACCCTTAAATTGCGGAGCAAACGGGAGGAGGAGAAAAGGGCAAGAGACTGGTAACACGAAAATCTCAGGCTCTTGGAAAGCCTGCTGAGTTTAGAGAGAGCATACTCCTCTTGTAACTATCTGAGAGGCGAGTAAGTACTGAGGCAGGTCGTATGGTGCAGTTGAGCCACTCTCCAGAGCCAAATAGTTCCCAAAAGCCAATCTGTTACGTGAGGCACCACGCTTTGTGTATCCTGTATTTACTGTCTTTTAACATGTACAGTACACTCTATATAATTTGTAAATAAACTGTAAATATTGTCTCTTGAGTGTGAAGGTGTTCTTCCAACAAACCCGAATCAAGTCTAATCGAGTCATAATATATACTGCAAACTAACTCAAAGACACGGAATTTGGGGAAGAAATTTCACTGTGTATTTTTCATCTAGCTGATGAAAGATATCCATTCTTTGTCACTAATAACATCATTTCATAACATAAATCTTTGAACTGAAACAATCGAAATGACAGACCACGTACCTTATTTTTTTATTGGAAAGTTCGAAATTACGTCACCAACCACTTCATTACGACATGAAGATGTATTCAGTGAAACGAGAATAATTATTTCGACATATTTTACCGAAATAAATGAAAATGCGCCTGATAAATTTAGGGTGCAGTAGGGCGCGGGTTTGACATAGCCTGTTTTAGGAAATACTGTATTTAAATTCTGTATTTATTTAACTATGATTTTCTTCGCTCTTTACTTTTTTAAATTATAAAATATTTCCTGTAATTATTACTTGTAAGAATATTAAAGTATTTGTAAATAATAAATCTAATTTGACGTGAAACTTTGATTTGCATAGAAATATGCATGATTAAAAGTTATATATATAATGATATATGGTATAATGCAGAAAATATAATTCTTAATAAAATATGTAAAGATTGAAGAATATTCTTTAAACAAAAAGAACAACAACAACGATAAATATATTATTGTTAATCATGATTTAATTTTTATTGTTTCTATGGGTTAACATGGAAAACATACGATTTTAGTAATGTTATTTGTAATGCAAATTTCAAACACCTTACGATGTCTAGAAACGTTCGCTCGGCTATTTGGCCATTACAATAAAACCGTTAAATATTTATTAAATTATACTTAATGTTTACGATTTTATAGTTTATGAGAAAATTTGTAATTTTATTTTTCAGGGAAACATTACAAATGTTCCTGTCTCTTCAGCAGAAATCAATTCAAATGAACGTAAACACATTAGATTACGACCATTATTGAATGCTTTTATTGAACTGGAAACATATTCTTTAGTATCGGAAATAATATATGAAGAAGAAGAGCCTGACTCAACAGATGATCTGTCAGAAAGTGATTACAGTATTGAGTTAGATACGATGTCAAGTGAAGACGAACTTTCTGATGATATGAACAAAAATGAAATATTTGACGAGTGTGATATCGATCAAAATATATTAATAAAGGATCAATATCAAGCAGAAAATAATGAAACATATGATTTGGCATCAGTCAGTGCCACTTGTCCTGATATTGAATCATATATATCAGATTTAACAAAATCGGATAAGATATCAAGTATTTCTGAAGAACGGCCTGCGTCAAATTGGAAAAAGCACGTAGATGATATTTCTTCATTAAATAATTCTAGTAAAATAGTCAAAGAAAAAATTATTAATGTGCAACCTGAAAGGGATCTTGGTTTATATCAAGAAATAGGAGAAAATGAATTGGACGCACTTCAATTTGATGAAAGTGAATTTGAAGTAAACACGAAGCTTTCAGAATTTAATGATGTTGTGAGAGATTCAATTGGATCAGAAGAATTTAAAGAAGGTAAGATCACAAATAGATTATCTGTTATCTAAAGTGTAAAGTTTTGTTTTTTCTTTTATTCTATTTTATACTCCAGATATTTATTTTTCTTTCTCTAATAGTTATTAGATTTACGTACATTTAGATATAAACGTAATTGTGAAATATTTTAAATACATTATTAAGCGTAATGTTAATTATAGATCTTCAATCTTTTGCTGCTGTTTGGTTTAAAGTAATAGTTTTAGAATTTTCCTGAATTTATAGAAAGAATTTTTCTAATAACAAATATTTTCTTTATTTGCGTTGTTACTATTTAAACTAAGAATTTAAGTTCCACAATATAAAAACTCATGAAACATTCATTTATTAATGCTTTGTCAAAATTATTAATCTCTTCTTAGAATAAAAATTAAATATTTGCAAAAAGAGAATTATAATTCATAAGTTTGTCAATAATTTATTTTAGCAATTAAAAAACTAATTTATATTTGATATGATAATTATATTTAATAAAAGCCCTACTCGATACATGCAGTGGAATTAATAAACACCCGCCAAAATATATGTATTGAAAGACTTCTTGGGATCACTAAATTTTTATTTTCTCAAATTTAAATAAAAAGTAATGTTCTGTGTATAGCGTTCTTGCAATCCAAACAATAATTTTGGTAGACGATCAAACAGCAATTAGTTGAAAAAAGGTTACGGTTTATTTAAAACACTTTTCTTAATTCAGATGCATTTCGGGTTGGCTTGTATTCCCAACCCCTCTACAGTGCTGTTAAAGTGTTTTAAATAAACCGTAACGTTTTTTTAACTAATTGCTGTTTGATCGTCTACCAAAATTATTGTTTGGATTGCAAGGACGCTACACACAGAATTTGAAGATACAGCAACCATACCTTCTACAAAAAGTAATATTGTTGACAAAACTTTTTGCATATGAAGTACCCAGATAATTCATAAATGTATAAAGAAACACTTGTAGGTTTGTGATATTACTATTACAAATAAAATAATTAGGTCTTGTGAAAGTTCCATACGTTTTAGGATAATAATTTTATCCCTGTTATTAATGTATTTCTCTGGCAACTCACCATAATAGTGTTTGGTTTCAGACATGCTTGTTTAATATCATATATTGAAAAAAATCGTTTCCAAATATAAAATATATCTGTGTGCCATAAAGTGAAACGTAAAACGAATTACCACTATTTCCTGCTTACACGCAACGAGATATAACAAGTATCCTTAACAACTGATAGAGTAGAACGCATAATCTGCACCTTACTTTAAAATGACTTTTAGACATATATTTTCTGAATTATGCAGAAAATCAACATTACTATTTAATTTTATATTTAGAGTATTATAATCATTATTATTACGATTCGTTTAGTGTTAGAGAAAACTACATTGATATTTATTTTTATTGGAATAATGTTGTAGGATACATACTTACTGTCTATAGTGCAATGTAATCAATTTGTTCGCGTGAATAGTTTGTACATTGTATGTACTGTACTTATATTACGTTGTGTAACTTAAATTGGAAGAGTTATTTTATTACCCTTTGAACTTTTAATCATATTTCGTTAATTTGTTTTAAAGATAAA